GGTTAGAGATGTGGTGCTATACTAGAAAGAGTTCTGATTTTGGAATCAAATGATAGATTGGAATTCTGGTGCTGCCACTTACCTGTGAGCCCTAGGGCAAATTATTTCATCTCTTAGGATCTCAGTATCCTCATTTGTAAAAAATGAAGGAGTTAGACTAGATTATGAATCCTTACCCTGGGGTCCTGAATTTAAAAAAAAAACATATACATATATATGTACACACACACACACACACACACACATATATATAGCTATTTCTACAACATGGACTTCCATTGCAATTCTATGTATTTTGTTGTATGCATTTAAAAACATTCTGAGACCATGTCCATAGGCTTTACCAGATTGTCAGAGGTATCTGCTGTCACAAAAAAGGTTAAGAATCTCTGGAGATGATGTCGATGGTCTTTTTTTCAACACCAAAACTTAACGTCTAGTGGGGGTAGGGCATGGGGAGGAGATATGACATCCACAAATAACAATACACAATATCACACAAGCATAGAGAGATGTAAGTTGGGGCAAGGAGGTCATTACAAAGGGAATCAGGCAAGGTTTCAGGGAGGAAGTCTTACCTGACTTTGGCTTCACAGGCTTAGAGATAGAAAGACAGACACTCCAGGAATAGAGAACAGAATAAAGGTATGGAGGCTGTAAAAAATACTGCTGTTTACTTACAATATTTCAGATTTCTATAGACTGTGTGTTCGTGTGTGTATGTGTGTGTGTGTGTGTGCGCGCGCGTGTAACTTAAAGTGCTATTTCACAGATAGAAGCACAGAACTAATTTTGTGAGTTTGAATGGTGCAGGCATTCACTTCCCCTGGGAGTGGCAACAGCCGCCTCCACCCAGGTATGAAGAGCTAACAGATGTTTTGCTGGCTGAGCCCAGAACAGGTGGCGAGGCACAGTGCAGGTGGAGGAGAGGTTTACCCCATGGGGCGGGGCTTAGCTCAAACTGAGTCACTGCCCTAAGGAAACTCAGCACTTTCCCTTTGGACAGCGCGTGATTTGTCCCCTGGCAGCTCGCAAAAGAGACTCACCAGAAGCTGGAGGCGGTGGTTAGATTAAAGGCGGTTTCCTTCTCTACCACCGAAACCTACCTTCAGGCTACTGAGCATGCCCAATTGGACTGAAGTTGCCTGGCTACCCAGCTCCAGCTAAACTTTTCCAGGTTTTCGAAGTAGCCCAGAAAAAGTCTTGGGCTTTCCCTGTGGGATCAAAGCTGGGGATTACGGGAGAATTTGGAAAATGTGCGGAAAAGTGGCAATGTTCCTGTAGACTGTCCGAGCCCTGGCTCATTAACTCATTAACAGGCGTTGGTTGTAGAAGTCTGGATCCTTTAAGAAAGACTCTTTGGGGGAGGAGGAGCAATTGCAACATGGGCATTACTGATCTTTGCCCAAGAATTAAATTCTTAGGTGCCCAGTAAGTGAAATGTCCTGTGCGAGGCACTCGGGTATTAAGATGATAGTCCTGGATCCTCAAGGAGTTTACGGGATAATGGAGGAGGGGCAACAACACAAAGCCAGATAATTGTGATTGGGGCAAAGCACTATGATAAAATGGAATAGGAATAGGAAGAGGTTCCTTTCATTTAGAAGAGAGAAAGAGAGAGGCAGAGAGCCAGAGAGAGAGCTAGGGCCTTCTTTGGGGAAGTGATCTGTGAGTTAGGCCCTGAAGGCAAGGTGGAACTTTGTGCCATTCTGGTAGGAGCTTACTAAATGCTGGTTGATGGACTGGCTTTAACAGATAAGGTAGGGTGGGGAATCTATGTACTTAGATCCTGGTAATTTAGTAAGGTATCCTTGAGAGAAGGATAAATTTTTAAAGACCGACCATACCTGCCTAACTTAGAATAAAGGACAGAAAGTTATTTTCTTTTCCTGATCCTTCCTGCTATTTGAGAGTACACAACCCAGACCACTAGAAAGGGGCACTGAACAGAACTCTCATGCTGCCTATGGGACATGAAACTGAATTGGCTATGTTATATATTTAAAAGGTTTATTTTGGCATGACAAATATTGACTTTGGGATGAGATGATATCATAGGATCATAGGATTTAGATCAGAAGGTACCAGAGACAGAAATTAGTTTGACACCATCATTTTACAGATTAAATTCAATTCAATTAACATTTATTAAGCACCTACTATGGTAGAGGTGCTGTGCTAAGCACTGGGCATATAGATAACAATAAAAAAAATAGTCCTTGCTCTCAAGGAGCTTATAATTTAATGGAAGAAGACAATACACAAAAAGAAGCTTATTCAGGGATGTAATGGAGTAGATTCTGGGTCTGTTCTAGACTCACATAGAAGGATTATTCTCAGAGGGCCAAGGAAGTGTGGCTAGTTGTGAGGAAACCATTTAGGACCAGATCAATAAAGAAGGAAATCTGAATGACACAGAATCATTTTTGTAAGATAGTAGGAGAAAATACAGAAACAGGAAGGGCTAGCCTATTTGAGAGCTTTTTTTTCCCCCTAGGGAGGACATTGGAAAGAACTCTGGATTATTAGTAACAGAACCTAGATTTTATTCTTAACTCTGCTATTTACAGAGTTTGGCAGTTTGGCAGAGAAGATGGAGTGAGTTGGAGTCAGGAAGACCTTTGTCCAAACCCAACCTTGATTAATGGTACTTCTAGCACCTACCTTACATGGTATCTATGAGACTTAAATGTAAATAATACATGTAATCACTTTTCGAACTGGAAAGCCCTATATAAGTATCAGCTGTTAATATCTTGGTCAAACCACAACTCTCTGGGCTTCAGTTTCTTCATTTGTAAAAGGAGGGGATTGGACTAGAGGCCCTAGTTACAGAGCTGGGTCCTAGATGTCTGTCTATGGGTCAGTTAGGTCTTTATTGACAAAGTAAAGAAGTGCGGAGCATTTATCAGTGAAATGCAGGTCAAAATCACTTTTTGCTTATTCTTTGTTTCCTTAAAAACTGGCTGATTTTTAAAAATTACCTGGACAAAATAGTTTCCTTCCCTTTGCTAGTAAACAAAAGCTAGAGACAACTTAAAAGTTAATTGTCTGTGAATACCATCCCCTCACCTGGATATACCATTCCCTCATTCCCGGCCTGAGGGAATATGTGATATCTCAAGGGTTTTTGTTCTGTGAAGAAGAAAGGCCCCAAATGAGGTCATGTAGAGTCAGATATGACTGAAAATGACTGAACAACAACAATGTGTAAGGGTCCCTTCCAACTCTAAAATCTAGGATTTCACATGAGGTTCTGGTTGATTCCTTAACAGCATCAGGGAGTGACTACTGGTCACTGCGCTCCTGTCTGACAACACAAATCAACTAAGACCCTCTTCAGCAGTCTCTCCACCTGATTCTGATCCTCCCAATAGTACCTGTTGGGTGTCTGTTCACAGTCTTTTCCTAGAAGTGGGGGTGGTGGTTGGAAAAGGGAACCCACAGTTTCTTAGAAAAATTTCCTTCTGTTACCAACTACGCTTCCCAGGTTACCCATTGGCGATTCCTTTGCAACCTTTCGTATACAAGTCCATAGGCAGCAGTGGTGCAGTGTACAGAGTGCTGGACTTGGAATCAGGAAGACCTGGGTTCAAATCCTACCTCAGAGACTGTGTGACCCTTGGTAAGTCACTTAACTGATTTGCCACAGTTTCCTATCTGTAAAATCAGGGTTAAAAAAAAAAAAGCAAATATTTCCCAGGGTTGCTGTGAGGATAAAATGAGATACCATTTGTAACTGTACTTTTTGCAAATCTTAAAGAGCTACATAAATATGGAGTTATTAGTCATAAATGTAGCTTGGTCTAATGTAAAGAGCTGACTTTATAGTTTGAGTCTATAGCTGGGTTCAAGTCTCAGCTGACACATCTTAGCTGAGTGACCTTGGGCAAGTACCTTAACTTTTAAGTGTCCCCAGAAAACTCAGCTGCAGAACAGCGGCTGACTTGCTTGGATTGACGGAGCTCCTCACATCAATGAAATTACAGATCTAGTCCAGAAAGGAAATGTCGTAGGGCAACGGGAAAGGCGCTAGATGGAGGGTCTGAGGTCCTGAGTTGGAATACTGACTGCCATTTAACGTGTGACCATAGGCGACACTTTCTGTGCCTCAGTTTCTTCATCTGTAAAATCAGGGGGCTGATCTAAGCTGACTAATAGGGTGTCTCTCAGCTTCAGATCTTCGTTAGTATAAAGCATCGGATAGCGGGCTGGATCCAAAGTCAGGAAGACAGTGCAAGCCACACCTTTGATCCATACTAGTTTGTGATTCTGGGGCAGTCACTTCTCAACAGTGTGAGCCAATGCTTGGCACAGTGCATGGCACATAGTAGTTGCCTAAGAAATGTTTACTGACTGAAGTTGCAGAATTGTTACATCGGTAGTTTTACACACACACACACACACACACACACACACACACACACACACACACACACACAAATAGTTCAAAGCAGTTCGCCAGCACTGCAGCTCCGCCTGGAACAAGCGGTCCTCGTCCACGCCCAGCACACGCCTCCTCCAAGCCCGCCGTTCTCCTGTTCTCCTTCCTCCTCCCGCCGCCGCCGCTGGCTCTCGGCTGTCATGGAAACCCGGAGAAGTGGAATCCACCCCCTTGGGCCCGGCTGCCCGACTGCCTTGCCTAGCCGGCTCCTCGCCGGAGCCGCATACTGGGCATGCTCAGTATCCAGGGTAGCTCGGCGGCTGCGAAGAGGAGGTGGAGGAGGAGGAGGAGGAAGCTTTGATAGTGCCCAGGCCGGCCCCGCCCTCCGGGGGGAGACCCGGAGAGAGGGTGGGGGGTGGGAACTCTAGGAGCCGAGGAATACCCGGAGGAGGACGACCAGAGGGAAGTGGGCGGGGGCAGCTGCGAGTGGAGAAAGTAGTTTCCCGGGAGTTGCGGGTCCAGCAGCTGGCGAAGCGGGGTGGGGGGAGAGGCTGTGACAGTGACCGCAAGGCGTGTAGGGGGCAGCAGGGGAGGCAGCAGGGGGCCCAGGGGTCAGGGGCCGAGCCAGTGCTGGCCGGGCAGGGATGAGCCATGGCATCAGTCAAAGTGGCCGTGAGAGTCAGGCCCATGAACCGAAGGTGAGTGAGCCTGTCCCTAGTCCGCCCCCTCGCCCCCCGCCTCCCCTCCCCTTCCTCGAGTCATCCTTCCCCGCCCTCGTCCCCACCCTCTCCCCCCAAGTTGGACAGCCCTAGGAGGAGGGGAGCCCCCGCCATTCCCGCCGCGCTGCTCGCCAGGCCGCCTGCTGAGTGCCCAGGCTGTCTGTCTGTCCGCTGAATCTGGAGGGTCACGCTGTCCGGCGGCATCGTGGCTGAAGTCACCCAGTCACGTCTTCGAAGCTGAGATTCAACCCCCTGGAAACTCCTGGCCTGGGGAATTTCTTGTCACTTTCAAACTGTCAATGTGTAAATATCTCTAGAGGAAAAGTTCTCACCTTTCGCCCGAGTGAGTCTCTAGCCAGACCTCCTTGAAATCGCCGCTCAAGTCTGCGGCATCCAGGAGGATTTTCGTGGTCTCCGCCCCCCAGTGTTAGCTGCGTCCTTCCTCTACTTAACTTTGTATATGCTCTGATTTTTTTTTTTTACCTACTTTGGATTTGTATTCTGTGTTGTATTCCTCCCTCCCAACCCCCACCCACAGTAGCAAGTTAAGCTCCTTGAGGGCAGGGATTGTTCCAGTTTCTTTTTTTTTAAATTGGTATTCCCAGTGCCTACCTAGCACATTGTAGAGGCTTCATAATCTTTGTTGAATCAAATGGAATTATTGGTGCAGTGAAAATACTGTGAGAGCCCTCTGTATTTGAATTTATTTGAACAATTTTTTTAAAGTTTTAAAAGAAACCATTATTACTTCTCTAGGATATAAAAAGATATCCTTAAAAGTGAATGAAGGAATGATGGTAAAGTACACCAGTGAACATACCTGTTTCTAAAATCATTCACAGAATAGGTAGCAATTTTACCTAGATTTTCAGCTGAAAGGGTCTTTAGAGTTTATCTATTACATTCTCATTTTACATATGCTGAAACTGAGGCCCTGATAGGTTTAATCGATTTGCTCAAGGTCACAAATAGAGCAAGTGAGATTTGAACCAGCTTCTTGGAACATCACATCCCATATTCTTGTTCCACTAACATGGAGCCAACTCAGCCCATATCTGTCTTAATTACAGATGTTTTTGATTACTTGGAATGTAAAGCTTCTAATTAGTAGCAAAGAAGCTTTGAGAGAAAGTTAAAGTGTGACTGAAGAACTGTTTCCATCATTTAAAATAAAAGGTAAATAAATACGCCAGTGAATTGAAAGTACACCCTTGACAAAAGCTGCTGAAAAGAGATATGTCGGTACTTTAAGTGTCCATGTGTTTAAAATATACTGAAATTAATGGAGAAGAGTTATAAACCTGTTAGGGTTTTGTATTGCAACATTTTAATCTTATTCCTTTCCACATTTTGGCTTTTTTCACTTGTTGAAAGAAAATCTGTCCTTTTTCAGTTAACTTTTAAACTTTGATCAGGTTAGGAAGTTGCTTTGAAAAGTTGACAACTTCTAAAAGTATTGTCTGAGTTGATGATAAACAAAGTAGAAAAGCCATCCATTTCTGTTGATCCACAAATAGATTAAATGGACATTTGACCTACTTATGTCCTCTCCACCCACCGAGTTCTGTTGCGTTATGTAACTCAAGGTCTCGTGGTTATGATGTTGTTCAGGCGTGTCAGACTTTTCATAACCCCATTTTGGGTTTTGTTGGCAAAGATAACTGGAGTGGTTTGCCATTTCCTTCTCCAGTTCATTTTACAGATGAGGAAACTAAGGTAAGCAGAGTTAAGTGACTTGCTCAGGGTCACACAACTAGTAAGTGCTTGAGGTGGGATTTGAACTCAGGTCTTCCAGACTCTAGGCACTCTTATCTACTTCACTAGCTAGCTAGTTAGAAGACACTAATAAGGAAGATTACCAATTTCTTGTTTGAAGAGGTAGAAAACTGATCTGACCTCTGATTTTTTTATGGTTGTTACCGATAAAATTGGGAAAGTCATAGTAATTGTCAGAATTTTGAAATGAGTGATTTTTAAGGGAAAAAAAGAAGTATGATTTACAGCTAGGTAGCACAGTGGATACAGCACTAGACTTGGAATCAGTAAGACCTGAGTTCAAATCCGGCCCCAGGCACTTACTAGCTGTATTATTATCCCAGAAAAGTCACTTATTTGTCTTCCTCAGTTTCCTCATCTGTACAATGATAAAAATAGAGTGCCTACCTTTCAGGGTTGTTATGAAGATCAAATGACATAATATTTATTAAAATTCTTTGCAAACCTTAAAGTACTATATAAATGCTAGTTTTTAGTACTATTTGCAAAGTTATTTCTGGTTTTTTGAGTTTAAAAGCCATGTGTGACTTTAAAAGAAAACACCTTAAATTAGCATCTATGTGTATTTCCATTTATATTAATTATACCATGATATTAATACATAGGTTATTATTGTTTGAGGGTAAAGTAATTTAGATAATTAAAATGTGTGATAATTAAATTAAAACCTTTGTATAGGTTTTCTGGGTTTTAGGAAAAATTAGGCATTTCTGTGATTAAGGGTTTTAAGAGATTGGGTATTAAGGATACAGTGTGCTGATAATACTATAATTGCTATTAGTGTAGGACTTGGCAGGCAGCAATAACTATTCACATTTCTATTCCATTTCTTTTTAGCTAAGCTCCTTGAAAGTAGGGAATGTTTTGTTTTTGTCTTTGTACCCCTTGTACCCAGCCCAGGGCTTTGTACTTAGTAGATACTTAAATGGCTATTTTAATGCATGAATAAAGGAAATGGAGATTTCAAATAAATGACACGTGAGAAATTAGGGTTAGTGCTTTTGATCTTCCTTCTTGAACTTTTAGATTTAAGCAGGCTTCACTTTCCCCTTTCCTCTCTCCTCCATTTAATTCCATTTGCTTGTCCAGATATGGTCCATTTGGGCAAAGGAATCCTGCAAGTGCCAAGAATGAGTGTTTTATTATGGTAGAAAAAGTATTGGCTAGGTAGTAATCCTTGGTTCTGGTCTCAGTTCAGCCACTAAAGAGCACTGTGATTTTGGGGAAAGTCTCTTCAGCTTTGGGCTTAGTTAAAATTGTATTTACTGATGTCTCTGGTTCTGACCAGCTCTAATATTCTGTAATTCTGAAACTTGAGCTGAGCAAAAGGTGGAAAAAGGTAGATTCCTAACAACTGTACACTGATCATTTTGATGTTGCTTTCTGGGAAAATGATACACTGCATCATTAAATGAAAGGTTTGAGCACTTAGGGAGTAATTAGTAGGAATTATCATCAGTTTGCTAAGAAATTTATTGTTTCCTTTTTTCCTACAGCTACCAGACCAAGGACTATCATAGATAATAGGATCTCTCTATTGTGTCAGGATATTTGGCAAGATCTTTCATGATGTTATAGGATCTAGAGCTGGTAGAGCTCTTGAGACCAACCCTATGGACAAGATGAGGAAATGCAGGTTGGATGTTATTATACTTGGGTGGATTTATAGCTGTTTGGTGGCGCTCAAAAAGTATTGGTTAAATGGATTGATGCCAGTCTGGATAGAAATTTTTTAACACTGTAAATTTCCTAACTGTTCGCAAGGAGCTTTTGTCTTATACACTGTTGTGAGTGACTTGGATGAAGCCATAGAAGCAGGTCCTCAAATTTGTGGATGACACACAGATGAGTGGGATAGCTAATACAATGGATCACAGAATCTATGTTTTTATCACAGATAAGATGTTCGGAAAGTGATAACATGAAAATTAATGGGGGCTTTAAGTTAAAGAAGTACAAGTATAGCATGAGGGAGACCTGCCTCTACATTTATTTTTAAGAAAAATAGGATCATAGGATCAGAGATTTAGAAATGTAAAAGACCTTGGAGATCATTCAGCCCCACTCATTTATTTTTCAAGATGAGGAAACTGAGGCCTAGAAGAATTAGGCGATTTGTCCAAGTATTTGAGTCAGTATTTGAACCTAGATCCTCTGACTCTAATATACTACTCTTTTCACTGTAATGGGTTTAGTGAATTTTGAGTTCAATATGAATCAGCAGTGAGATGTAGCTGCCCAAAAAAGCCTAATGTGATATTAGACAGCCTTGGTGATACCATAGTCAGGTATAGGGAAATATTTATTCCTCTATACTTTTCTTGAGTCATATTAGCATAAAATATCAGGTTCAGTTTGAGGAGCTACATGTTGAATGTAAATTGACAAACCTGAGCATGTTCAGAGGACATTACTAGAATTTTGAGGGACTCTTGACTAAAGAACTTGGGATATGAATCCTGGAGAAGAGACTAGAGCACTGAACTGAATCTAACAAGAGGGAATGCAATAGGAAAAATAAAGTCTTATATTTGGTTTCAAATAATCAACTCACAAATTCAATATGGAAGCGGGATAATTTGTCTGAAAAAGATATGTAAATTTTAGGGGACTGAAAGCTCAGTATGAGCTAGTGGTGTAGTATATCTGACAAATAAGCTATTGTGATCTTGGCTTTCTTTAAGAGAGGTATAGCTTTAAGAACAAAGGAGGTGAAAAATCCTTCTGCACTCTGCCCTTGGCAGACTTTGGCCACAATATTGTGCCTGGTTCTGGACTTCATAATTTTCGAAGGTTGTTTCTAAGCTGGAAAACTTGCAGAAGAAGGCAACCAGGATGTTGTCGTCTGAGGATCAGTTGAAAGAATGGGCAATGGTGAGCCTAGAGAAGACTCATTGGGACATGAAAATAGGCATTCTATAAGTATTTGAAGGCTATTATGTGGAAGACGGATTAAATTTACAGTGTGGTAGCAAAGGGCAGAATCAGGAGCAATGGGTTAGTTGTTACCATGAATCAAATTTAGGCTTGATGTCCTGAAATACTTAACAATTTAAGGTATCTCAAAATAGAATGAATTGTCAAGAGATGTTGAGTTTGTGCCCTATGGAGGTCTCCAAGCAGAGTCTGGATAACCACTTGTCATATGTTCTAGTGGGGATTCCTTTCAGGTATGGGGGTAGACTGAATGACTACTAAAGTCC